AACCATCCACCTTTTTCTTTCTTCCATTGGTTGACTGGATTATGAAAACCTCGACGTCTGGAGGGAAGCACGGACTATAATGGACAGCCTGGAATCAACGAGACGACTCGGATTTCGCAGACGACCTGGTTCTTTTCTTCCATGCAGGCGAGCAAATGCAGATGAAGACAACTAGTGAAGCAACAGCCTCCGTATCAGTAGGCCTCAACATACACGAGTGTAAAAACAAGAACCTCAAGCACAACACAGGGAACATCAACACAATCTCATTTGGTGGAGAAGCCCTGGATCAGGTGGAATCTTTCACGTACCTGGACAGCATCATTGGTGAACGTGTAGAATCGGATGCTGACGTAAAGGCGAGTTTGACAGTTGTTTATCCACTCACACCTTGTTAACACTAATTTTCTTTTACTGATTAGAATGCTCTTGCTTAACAAATACTTTAACATAAGAGAATTAGACTGAGTAGTCATACCTTAACTATTCATTCTTGAATATTATCTGTTCTAATTCTTGTCCTTTCTTCTTCTCGTGTCATTTTTCCGCCCTCTTGAGATATATCACCGAAAACATATGAAACGGGTGACGTCATCGTGCATAATTATCAAAGCCTCAGATATTCCAGAGAAGAACAATGAGTTGTGTCGTTTAACAAGCTGGAGCAACCTCACATGAAGGAAGGGAAGTCATGGGTGGTACAAGGAAAGCAGTTTATTGGAAAGGGGTGTGCATATAAGGGATGAAGTGTTGAGAATACTAATGTCTATATCGTTTGTCGTCTTTTTTTCTCTCTTTTCGTTTTTGTCCATCCGATGACGGCCATACAATCCTAGTGTAAAATTCCGAGTTAGTATGTTATAGGTTGTCTTAGTAGAATAGCTAATCCAGCATAAAATTGGAAACATTAGCCTGAGTGGTGAGCGTAGTAAGACAATCTATATCACAGGTTGATTGACTTATTCTCAGTTATAAAGAACCTGATACATACAAAATGTTCTGCGCCCATAAACACTGGTGGGTCGAAGTCATCGCCCTCATCATCAATGCTTGCTGGTCAGTAACTCCACCCTCCCTCCTTTTATGATGTTAGGGTCATTTAGGCTTATTTTTGGATATATGTCATACCTCACACAATCCTCTGTGTTTCACAACATGTTGGAAAACACTATCTCTATAAGTGCCGTTTTACAAGCTTATCAGGCAGTTACAAGTTATGGACTGTGGGTAAGGCATCGATGCAGTGCTTTAATTGATTATAGTATAAAGTATAGTTTGTCAATTAGAGTATAAGCATTAAGAAGGGTATAATATAGGGTAGTTGTTTAATAATGCAGGCGGAAAAGTATAGAAGTATATGAGTTGTAGATAAGGTAACGAGTGGAGATATAATATAAATTGCTAGTCAATATAGTGTACAGAAGAGTAAAAAGTTAATACATGATAAACAGGAAGAAACCCACATTATCTTGGTGCCGATGTTATTTTGTGTTGACTTAACCAGTTGATGGGTAACAGGCTCCATAGATGCAAGATCACTGGTAGTAGGCAGTCGATTGTGCGGTTCTCTTGACACTTTAGGGTGGTAGTGAGTGTCCCTTAGCGACCGAGTTTAGTTGAACAGTATCGACAGGTCCAGTGAGTTACCTGTTTACTTCAAGTGAAGAAATAGGGTGGAAGAAGTAACTAATACAATTGCAAGGTAGGAAAAATAAGGCAGGCTGAACTTGAAGTCCATTTTGGTCTAAACTTGGAGTAGCGCAAAACATCTCACAACATTATTGTATTGTTGCTGTTGCACGTCGCTACGCAACCTTCATAGAGCGCGACAAATGTGGTACTGAAAACACGATTCTTAATAAAACCATCTACATTCATATCTTTTAAAATATAAACCCAGCCGAGCAATTTACTACGGTGAAAATTGTATCTTTTGTAACAATTTGATCTTGCCCGTTAAACTGGTATGCCCCATGTAACAAAGTGTCATTTGAGAATAAATTATTATTATCTTGCCTCTAATTCCTTTCTGTAGTAATATTTAGGTTACACTTTGCCGTTTTAAATCGTAATCAGTTGTTGTCCTTTAACAATTTTCATGATGATCACTCGGCTATAATAATGTATTTCTGTAAGGGCAGGTACTCACCATTTTTACAGGCATTATCTAAAAATTACAACATTTGTTGGCTCACAGTATGCTCCCATGTAGGGTTATTAAATAGATATAATCAGTAAAACTGAACAACAGTACATTCATGCAGATGTCTTCGAGCGTTAATCATTAGGTTTATGCTATGTGTTTGTACAGTCCTTAAAACATTTTCCAATATGACATGGCGTCCATGTTAAACACCAGATCCAAGCTCGGCATGATTGTGTTGGGATTGTGGTCGTGCACACTATTTATGCAATACGACTCTTTAAGTTTATAGTTATTATAAAGCCGACTAGTAGAACACTTGGTGTGAACTATGACCTTGAGAAAACGCGTATACCGAGTTTGTTACTAGCATCATAAGGTCCATAGATGTGCACTCAAAGCAAGATTCTGAAAAAAGGATTAGTGAAAAAGCAGCGAGGCACCCTTAACAAGGCGACTGAGGAGATATTCTGAGGTGCTAGCTAATTTAGTAGATGTTTTACCGACCCAATGTCATGCTGGGAACAGGTTTTTGTCTCTGGTGGTGTTTTGCGTTTTTCTTCATTGTTAGATCCCCAGAACTCAGTTGATAAGTACCTTGTTTTTCTAATATTATTTAAAAAATGTGAATTTCTTGTTTTCGTGCGAAAAGCATTCATTTTCAGCTTCATGTCATATTTCCTTCTTGTGAGAGTCTTAAACCCTATTGGTTCGTTGTATCCTTTAGTATGCCATTTCGTAGCGTTTCTCATGGACACTTTTACGCTGTATATAAACTTTTGTTTTGTACCTGTCTCATTGCTCGAGCTTCTAGCTGCTTGCAAAATATATTTTCCCTTTTTCGAACTTCAGCTTCTCTTTGGTTAGCGGGGCTGGGACGCATCATAATAGCTAGTTTATTGGTTTTTGGTCACATAGTATTTATTCCGTTCACAAACTAGGTGAACTCGTAATCACTTCAAACGTAGCACTCATACTTGTCAGATAGACAATTGTTTTTCACAATTCTGACCCGTGAATTTTTTTCATCCTTCTGTTGTACTCTAACCGCTGATTACAAACTAGTTGTTAAAAGTTGCTTCAATCAAGAGGGCTTAGAGACCACGAATATTAGTGGCATAGTGATGGATTATATATCTATAACCTGAAGTTTATCTTGATGAGACGATAAGCGGGGAGAGCTGAATGTTAGTTGAAACATTAAATATTCAACAATTTTCGAAAACAACACGAGATGTAACTGGGATTGTTACTCTGACTTCGGGCATATAATATCGGTGTAAACCACTGTTAGGTTCAAAGCAGGTGTGACATTGTCGTATACGGTTTGCAGCAGAATCACCCCACTGCCCAGACTGATGGTTCGAGAGAATGACTGTGTCATCAGATTGAAAGTCGGGTTGATTATGCTGTAATGCGTTTGAAACGAGACCTGCCCCCTTACATATGGAAACCACATGTGCTAGGCGATGATAATCGCAAGAGAGCAATACATCACCTACCAGGTAACCAAATAAATCAGCTTGTCAAACGGCGTTTTCCAGATTGATATACGAATGGTCAATATTCAACTCTGTGTTGATATCCTGTAAACATATTCTACAATTAATGTGATGAAAGTGTAAAAACGGCTGTTCATGTCACAATTTTATCGTTAACAGTCACGAACCACACCGCCTTGCACAGAAAGTCTTTTGTCCTTTACAAGTAAACTTCGTGTAAGCCTCTAAATCAATAAGTTCAGCAAACAACATTGATACGTTTGGTTGGCATGTTACCTCCCATTGTTTCAATCACGATATACAGGTGCAGTGATCCATGAGACACAAGACAAACGAACCGGCAGGGCCGGACAGATAATAATAACAGTAATAAGTCCCGACCTCGGTACCGATGGATAAACTTCAAAATTTATAGCACTACAAATTGTTTGTCATGTTCGCTCAAAGATATTAATCACTTGTGTTGTTCGTATACGGTAGTCATTTTTGCATGACACTAAAAAATCACTATTGATTAGTATGCATAATGGTGGCGCATCGTAATTGTGCTGAGACTGGTCAGAAAAACAGTAAGCAATTTTCGAAAGCAATGGTGAAATTCAAATTATTTAGTTTCGTAATTTCTCTGTTTATTAGGTTTAATGCGGTTGGTTTTTGGTATGGCATTGCAGGGGTCAGAAATACCTAGGCTTCAACAAAAATTTTGTCCGAAACCCTTGGTATCCAATGATTTAAAGGCTAATAGACCCAGACGCAGAGAATGGTAGGATATCAACATAATAATGGATAAAGTACGGTGATATAAGATCACAAAAGTTTTATAGTCCAAGCTTACCGTAAGCTTTTGGCATGCTTTCTCCTCGTGCGCTGAAGGATAATCGGCAGTTATGAATAAAGCAGGCGGTTTATGAAAAGATAACAGAGACCAGTTCGTAGTGTATTTTGGGGTAAGAAATTTTAGTGATAAAGCAAGAATTTGTATTTTCAGTTGTTGATTGATCTAATCCTTGCTATATTAGGTGCAGATCTTGCAAGAATACGTATGTTTACAGTACTTGGGAGCTGAAATTACGAGTAGTTGATATTTTGAACAAACATAACACACTAGATAGTTCACATGCTGCATATGCTTGTAAACGAGCCATGACAGCTAATTATAGTGGTATTCAGTTAGCTGTTTACACTGTGCAAATAAAATAATATCGCGATGACGAGTAATTATATGCTATGTAATTTTACGTTGCTGTTCATAGGATTTATTCAACAAGGAAAAATAATAAATGAATGGGTTAAGTTTTCGTAACGTCATAAATATCGTAACTGTTTAATGCAACTGTCAAGGTCGTGCTTTCAGCAGTAGACATTGTTCTGTCTGGTAAGGCGGGATTTGTCTGGAGGATTAAGTGTGGGTATTTATTGTGTGTTTTCGTCGTTATATAATAAAAGGGAGATCTATCAGTTGACTATAAATCTAGTTAAAGAACAGCATATTTTATGTGTTAGTCAGACGCAAAGACTTTTTCAAAGAGGTGTTTTCACATTATGAGTGAATTCCTTTCGCGAATTATGTGTTACCTTGTCTTACATGCTATCGTTTTCACCTTTCCTGGTAGAAGTAACTCCCAAAACCTCATTCGCGTAGGACAGTTGCGTTCTATGCAGATCTTGAATGTCGTTTCTATATGTAATGTACATTCTTACTACTTCAAACACACTGGCAGTTTATGTAAATCAGTATGGTACGAATTTAGGTATTTCCAATATCTCCCCGTATTCATCACTCGATTTGCTTGGTACTACAACCCAATTAACTCTCGTCTTTTTATATGTAGGTAGAATTCGAAAACATTCTGGTCGTCTGTCGAGACAACAGAGAGATAATTCCAATAAAAAGTGGCTGATTAATGACAAGCTCATTTTATTTGCGATACTACGTTGGTCATAAGGGCAAGTTTGGACATGAATTTCTTGAGTTCGAGTTCAGACCAGAAGGTACAGTTTTCTTACTTGTAAATTTTTTTAGGCAAGCTTAGATATGCTAACAACTCTAATTATAAAAATGACACAATGATTCGGAAAGAGGTACTATTATTTTGTAATTCAAATGATACTCCAGGCGTACGTAAGCCCTTCTGTAATGGAAGAACTGAAGAGAATCGTGTTGGAGAGCGATATTATGTCGGAAGATGATGCTTCGTGGCCAGTACCTGATAGAGTTGGCCGTCAAGAGCTTGAAATTGTTTGTGGCGATGAACACATATCTTTCACAACTTCAAAAATAGGATCTTTGATTGACATTACGAATAGCAAGTGAGTGACTCATTTAATCTAATTTTTAACAAAGGGATCCTGAAGGATTAAGAACATATTACTACCTAGTTCAGGACCTGAAGTGTCTGGTGTTCTCGCTAATTGGATTGCACTTCAAAATAAAGCCAATATAATACGTTCCGTTTCTTAGTATTTTTCTGCTTCAGCTTATCTTTTTGGGCAACTAGGAGCAAGCCACCAATAATTTGAACAAAAATGATACCCGGTTGGTGTACAGTAGTATTGTAATTTTAGGCAAAGTAAAGATGAACGTATAACTTCAATTTCGCGTCATAGGTTGAAACATCCTATAATTTTAGTATCGATACATGGCTTTCGACACTGTTTTAATGAGTTCTAGTTTATGAAGTTCGTTAGTTGGGTTGGATGTCAGTCATCTACAACTTAGGACCAAGCACATATATTCGTCGGTCCAAGTTGTCATACCTCATTAGCACAACAAGACCAGCACCGAATTCATGGCAGTTACTCCAGTAATGCAAAAACTATTTTTATGTAAGGATATAATTGAGGCAGAAAGGAGTATTTGATAGAATGAAGAGCATAATAATAATTATTATTTGAACACATAAATATTGGTACAAGAGAGCGCCAATATATATGTGCCACACAAAACAATGAGAATTCGAAGAGAAATAGAAAAAAAAGCTAAGGAGCGCAAAAAAAAGAACAATAACGAAGAGATTGGTGTAAGGTAGTGTCGTAATAATGAGGGAACACAAAGGTACAATCGGAAGAAATCTTTCAGGTAAGGAAGACGCAACCACTGCTTATGAAGAAAGTTAAAGAAGGTTACAGCAGGATCGCCACTGGCTTCTATTCTGAGCCATATCTGATAACGTCTCTAGCCACTGTGTAGCACCATCTCTCGGACCCCAACTAGCGTGTCTTGAAGGACCAACAGAAGCCAGCCCTTTGCAGCTTTCTTTCATGCCACGACACCATGTCATATAATGACTACCTCTCCGCTTTCTTCAACCAGTCCCAGAGTCGGCAAATAATGCACGACGTGGAATTCTCTGGGACGACAGTCGTAGAACATGTCCAAGCCACCGAAGTCGGTGTTTCAAGATGGTGACACCAATTGAATTATCATCTCTGTGCCCGAACACACGATGCCGAACCTCTGCATTACTGATATGGTGTTGCCACTGGATGTCAGCAATCCTTCGGAGACAACGATGATCGAACACGGAGTCGTTTAACGTCCTCAACTCGGAGAGGCCAGGTTTCACAAGCATAGAGCAAAACTGCTCTCACCGACGCGTTGTAGATTCGATCTTTTACAACCACACTAACATCACGAAGGCGCCGAAGATGGCCCGGATTGGCATAAGCCGCTCTGGCTTTCACTGTACGTGCATCGATCTCATCACTCACACCCCACTAGCACTTATGCAGCTACCCAGACACACGAACTTCTCGACCACTTCTATCTGCTCACCATCCAGGGTGAGTACAGGATTGGAATCCTGCCAGTCTTGTAGAAGCACTTTGCACTTAGAAGGTGCAAAGCACATACCATACTTACGTACACTGATTGCCAACTGATTAAGTGCGGATCGCATGGCTTGGGCATTATCGCCCAGTAAGACAATATCATCCGCATACTCAAGGTCGAGAAGTCTTTCTCCAGGCGAAAGGTCCACACCACTATTACCTACATCCATCAGAGCTGTTTCCAGAATGTCGTCGATGGCAAAGTTGAAGAGGAATGGTGAGATTGGGCAACCCTGCCCAACCCCACTGCTCGAATAGAACAATGGAGAGAGGTGGTTGTATGTCCTCACTCTGCCTGAGGTGTTTGTATATAGGGCTTTCAGGATGTTAATAAACTTCTCAGGCACACCCGTCTTCAATAGACAATCCCAGAGAACAGTCCTATCACACGAATCGAAGGCAGCCTTGATGTCAAGAAACACTACGATTGTTGGCCTTTGATAAGTATGGCGGTGTTCTAACATTTGGCGGAGGCTGAAGATTTTTCTGTTAGCTCCGTACTTGTTGAGACCTTACCGCCGGAGAATGAAATCCGTGGGATAAGATTAGTTGTGCATTTTTAGGGTCAACCTTTCCTAACCTCACCCTTCTATTGTGGGAAGGCAGTATCATTGCTATGCTGGTTGTCTGAGAGAAACCCCTTACTGCTGTCACACTTTTTCACAGTTAGTAGTGCGACTTCACCCTCGGACCTTGGGTTTGCTGCTTTTAGTCGTACCGCTCTTCAACCAACCTGTCAGTCATTGTAGAACCTTGAGGAACGATTGTTCCAGCCAGTATAACTCGGTTGCTTCATCACGATGGGCAAGCCCGACCATCGTCATGGTAGCAACAACGGTCGGGATTTGGCGGAGGGTGAAGATGTGGTCAATACATCCTCGAATGGAACGAAAACCAGCTTGCTCCTCGCGAGTCAATCTTTCTCGGGTTTTGAACAACCTACAAAGTATGACGGAAGCCAATAGCTTGGACGTAATCGGAAGTAGACTTATCCCACGATAGTTGTTACAGGAACGACGTGAACCCTTTTTAAAGATAGGGACAACTATCGACTCATTCCATGACGTCGGTACACTCTAGTTCCCAAACCTTTGTAAACAACGTCGTCAATTCCTTAGTCAAGAAGTCACCACCATCTTTAAAAAGAGCCGGAGGTAAGTCATCTGGGCTAGGTGATTTGTAACGCTTCAAGAGTTGGAGTTCCTTGCGGACTTCCTCCTCGTTTGGTGGATCAGTCGTCACCGGCCATGGAGGGCAGGACAGTCTGACCGATGCTGCCGGAGCAGCAGGCCAGTTGAACTGCCCTTTGAAAAATTCTGCCCATCGTCCAAGACGTCGATGGATGTTAGTGATTGGCATCCCGTCATCCTCGGAGATTGTATGTATCATTACCAAGGTTTGATTTAATAATTTCGAATCAATTGAGCATTGGGTAGATTGTTATAAATAAATAAATAATATATTTGTAATATCCCAATGAGTAGAAAATTAGATTTTCTGACGTTTCGTGACTTAGTGCAAGTCACTTCTTCAGAGAATAAATAACCAAATTAAAATTAATCCAAGTTATTTATTCTCTGAAGAAGTGACTTGCACTAAGTCACGAAACGTCAGAAAATCTAATTTTCTACTCATTGGGATATTACAAATATATTATTTATTTATCCTCGCAGATTGTTTCGCTTACATCAGACTTCTTGCTGCTAGTGGCTCGGATGAGTTGGAAGAGCTTCCGGCAGTTACCAGATGCAGCTGCTGCTTCCAGCTCATTAGCACGCTCCGACCACCAGGCTTCTCGGTCCTTACGCAAGCTTTGCCCAATTTCATTACGTAACAGTCGTCGTTTGTGGTCAAACTCACGGTCACCCGGAGTAGACCGACGGGCTTCAATGAGTTGTAAGGAACCTGAAGAAACCCAGTGCTTATAAGCGGGACGTTTCGCGAACCCACAACTGACTGTACCCGCCATTTTCATGGCGTCATGCAATTGCAACCAATGCTCATCTATACTTTTCGGTGGAGTGGTAGCTAGCCTAGAGGCTAGCTCGGTTCGATACTTACTTGCAACAGAAGTTGCAACCAGCTTGCTAATATCAATCCGTTGATGGCGGTCACTTCGTTGTCCACTGAAAAGTAAGGTAAGATTGGCGCAGACCAAGGCATGGTCAGAGTCCAGATAGGTACTCCAAAAGGAGCGGCAGTCTTGCACACAACCACGCCAGCGGTAGCTGATCGCGATGTGATCAATCTGAGTCCAGGCTTGAGATGCAGAAGGCGGACGCCAGGTGGCACATCGGCGATGACTGTGCCGAAAGTTAGTGCTAGCCAGAAACAGGTTGTGGTCTGTGCAAAGTTGCAGTAGACGGTCCCCGTTATCTGACCTGCGACCAACAAGTCCCCATCGGCCACCTAAACGACTCTCTTCTGTGCCTAGACGCCCGACCTGAGCATTCAAGTCTCCGGCTAGTACTACAATATCTGTCGAACGCACTTTCTGGAGAAGAACAGATATTTGGTGGTAAAACTCATCCTTGATTGCATCCGGGCTGCAATCTGTCGGAGCATAGGCGGAGATGACGAAAAGACATCGTTTCTCACGCCGATTTCTTCTCACTTTGATGGAACTTTCTAATCTAACAGCACATAACCGACTGTTAATGGGGATCCAATCGATTAGTGCTGCCTCAGCTCTAGGGCTTAGTGCGACACCAACGCCAGCAAGACCAGACGAAGATGCCACAGGGTCCCCGGATAAGCGCACGTAAAACAAGCTTTTCGAAGCGACAGATGGAGAGCGAATTTGTAGTACTTCACCAGTCTTGAATACGGGTCTCGGATAGACAGCAGACATCGATATGAGGACTTTCCAAAGACATAGCCAGCCCTATCTGTTGTCCGTCCTGCATAAGTGTGCGAACGTTGAAGGCAGCCAGTTTGAATGGTGCGCGTGGTTTCAGAAAAAGTGCTTCAGTATTCGTATTTGGTGGTAACATACAATTTTCAACCGGACAGTGACTCGAGAACGTTTAGATACAGTCGAATTTCCACCAAAGACGAGCCGCTGTATATGTATACAAGAGGGTGAATAATGTGGAAAATAATAATAGTGACAATAATAGTAATAATAATATTATTATTGACAATAATAGTAATGATAATAATTTGAATCAATTGATCGTTTTTCGAAGCGAGAAAAGTAGTTTCTATAGACAGAGAGTTCATCATTTGTGTGTGGGCTGTGATACTGCACGGGTGCCTAAACCGAAGCAGGATGAAGGGCATAAAGTAATTTTAATCTCACGGTTTAAGGGAAGACAAAGAGTGCATACACCTACGCCACTGTGATCGATCCTGTGCCATGTCACCCATTTTCCAACCACTGGTTATGGTAGTCGAGCTGACCCGAACCAAGTGGTCGGCATCTAACAACATGGCTCGTACCAGAAGATAGTGAATTTATGGACTAATCCCACGATTTACTTTGACCGCCCCTGAATTCCATCAGTCTGAGTCGAGTGTTCAAATTTATGAAATATATGTACAAAAATCCACGAAAAGTGTTAATTGGACTATCTCAGTGTGAGAAGTAATATCTTTGCAATTTCACTTAAGGCTATGCAAAAACCTATTATGGGATTTTAATGTGGCTTCTTGGCTGCACTCATTTTGATTCAAATACCATGGATATTACAATATATCGTATTGGTAATACCTGCGTTTGTAGAAAGCCACCAATATACTTGAGCCATGTGTCACTATTCATCGTGACTTTGTTAGAATGACAAGGTGTTTTCAGTAGAATTAGTTTAGACATGTTCGTTTCTGAAACTCAACCAAATACCCCAGTACGCTTTTGCGATGATAGAGATTTATTGGTCAGGTAGGTGGTTTTTGTGAAGTTTCGTTATCAGAAGACTGGACTCAGATGCACCCACTGAAAGACTAGTCTTTCCTAAGTATACTTGAGGAATTTAGCATCGGTGGAATCGAAGATGCAAATAGACACACCTTGTGACGTTGCAGTAGGTGCGTGTTTATATTCTGAAAGGCTGGTCTGATATTAGGACTCGATGAGATTTACTTAGGCCTGTCGCTTCTCGTAGTGTGGCACAGGCTGTCCACCGACATTCTCCATGCAATGCTGTCTTGGTCAATCCTTTCCAGTTGCTATTCATCATTTTCATGTCTGTTTCTATTTCCCGAAGTGATGTGTTCATTAGCCTTCTTCGTTCTCGTTTCCCTTCACGATCCCAAGTTAGCGCTCTACACGTTCACCAACGATGCTGTCCAGGTACGCGAAAGATTTCACCTGGTCCAGAGCTTCTCCACTAAATGAGACTGTGTTGATGTTCCCTGTGTTGTGCCTGGGGTTCTTGTTTTTACACTTGTGCATGTTGAGGCCTACTGATGCGGAGGATGCTGCTACATTGTTTGTCTTTACCTATCTTGGTTGACTCCGGTCCGCACCTGGAATGCGTTGGTTCGCTGTAGTGTTGCGATTTGATCTGTGCATGACCGATCTTTACGGAATCCGGCCTATTGGTCTTGAAGCTGGGAGCCTACTGAATCTTTATCCGGTTTAGCAGCACTTTCGAAAGTTGTTTCTGGTACTGATGGTAGTGTGATTGCTCTATATTTCTCACATTTACCCAGATCTCGTTTCTTTGGTGTGTCGATGAGTTGCCCTTCTCTCCAGTCCATCGGAACTTGTTCTTTCTCCCTAATTTTCTTGAATAGGACGTGAAGCATACTTGCAGTTACTTCCGTCTGACTTAAGTGCTTCAGTTAGTATATTGTCAGGTTCTGCTGCTTTCTCACTCTTGGTTTGTCTGACAGCCATGCTGACTTCTTAGGAAAATTGGTGTGTGCTGCTTCGATGGAGCTGGCTTATTCAAGAGTTCCTTGAAGTTTTGCGCCCATCTGTTCCTTTGTCATTGAATCTCGGTTATTGATTTGCCTTCTTTGTCCTTGACTGTTCTCTGGTTTACTATATTTTCCTGCTATTTTCTTCGTTGTTTCATATTTCCTTCCGTTGCAGCTTTTTCCACTGTCGTTGATAGGTGTTTCACATATTTCTGCTTATCGGCTCTAATGCTCATCTACACTTACTTGTTTGCTTATGTACTCACCTTGTATCTTGATTTTCTCTGTCCTTATTCGGTTGTTCTCATTTGCTGTCTTGTTCTTTCCTTTTTTAATTTTTTCCAGGGTTTCGATAGAGAATTATTCCATATGATCCGTCTTGCAGCCCGGCACCTGACACGTCGAAGTTCTCTGATCCCTTTCGAACTATTCTCCGTAGTTGTTTCTTCTGAATAACATTTGTTGTGATTTCTTCCCTCCTTTTCTTGAAAAATGCTTTAATGGTCCTGGCTCCATGAGATTCCCACTCTATAAATGCATTTCGTGCTTCTTTAGACAGCCTAGTAGCAACTCCCTGATTGTGTGGAGCATTTTTTCTTCATGACCGGAGAACAGCAGCATCTCTCCCGTATCTAAACTTTTCCGTCCAGCTTGGGTCCAATGCGTTTTGCTGACTCCGCATACTGCCATGTTGTATCTCATTTCCGTTGCTAATTAACTGGTCCTCCACGTTTTTCGGACGTTCCATATACCTATAAAAATTGTTAGAAGAGGCATCGGCCTCGTGAGTTCCGAGTAATCTCGGCTTTTATCATGTGGCGTCATAAATTTTCCTTCAACTCAGAGGGTATAGTTCAATGTGCTTAGGGTTGCCGGCCCCACGCCCAACCCTCCTCCTCTACCCGGGCTTGGGAACGGCAGTAACTTTAGGAGAGCTACGGGCAGAGTTTACTCGGTGATAGGTGGCGTAATATCTCAAGAATGCAACGTTTCTATCCCCAAGCTCCTAATTCGTACTGTTGTTGGTGATCCCGCAGTTGTAGTTTGTCAGAGTTCGCACTCGTTTCCTTTATGAATTCAATGAATCAGGCTCTATTCGCTTTCCTATGGGTGAATCTGTTTTCAGATGTTAATGTTCCAGTGGTTAGGTACTTTGGTTACTTTCTTAAAACGATATCCATGGATTTCACGTCAAAGTAGCTCCGAGGGTTTTTGTAGACCATCAGCAAAACAAGGAAGTACAACACTCAACCAAACATATTCCTTGATGACAAACTACATTAGAGCTAATCTCACGGTAATTAGATCACATATTGTTGAAACTGACCGATTTAATTCTGCGTAATGAAGCTATACCCTCTTGCAGTATCGTACTTTCTTTACAAAAGTAGCACCACAGGTGCTTTAGAAGCGGTATAAGATTCTAGTAAACCAGTTTCACTTTTTATGACGTGTAGAACGATTGGTGCTCATCTATTAAGAACGTGCCACAAATTGGAATGAACACTTCTAAATACAAGATAAATGGACGCATTTTGTTAGCTCCTCAATTTGTGTATTCCATTAACTATACGTGAACCTGAATGTACTACAACGTTATGACAATTGTAGGTATACTGAACCTGTTGTAAACTCCCAGATGAACGTACATGCACTCGACCATTGAGATTCACAATAAAGCATAGGATGGATGGACTAAATAGTATTTTACGATCGATGCTAACCGCTTGGATGTAAGCCCTAAGTGGGTTAACGTGCGTCACCCGATATGAAGCAAACACACTATTTCTAGATCGTTACACATATTCCGAACAGAATCGTTCGGAGGACGCCTTCACTTTGAAATGGAGTCTCAAATGATTGGGAACTAAACAACCCAGTGACATTGGAGGCCTTTAAATATGGTCTGTTTTTCCCATCAACCTCGCCGCAATGGAAACAAACTTCTACCTCCGAGATACGGGAATTAAGTTGGAACGTCACTCGTATCCAACCAGACGGTAAATTTCACAACTATGAGAATTCCACTCATCGTTCATGGCGTAGATCTAATAGATTAGACATGTTTCGTTTCTTAATTACCTTCACTCAGCCGACACAATTTTATACTGTTATATATATATATATATATATATATATATTGGTGCAATAAATCTCTCTAATTATTTGTTTAAAATTAAATCTACCTACCAACACCCTTCAAGGTAGTCATAACAAATGTTTAGAAATATAACACCTGGAATTCTATATGTACGTCCTCAAGTATAAGGCGTTCATATTAATACAGTTTATAAATCTTGCTGAAACTAATTAGTAGATGCGTAAGCAAAAGTATCTTCGCATATTGTACGAGAAAGAATACAACTGGAAATAAAATAGCGTTTTATTTCGATATTTGTGCTTTAGGTCGACGAAGTAAAAAACCCGGAACAGTTAACGTATCATCATTGTGTTTTTGCCCGCAAAGCAGCACGTTTCCCTGTCAGTGCTTGGAATCCGGAAGTCACTGTTTTTACGGTGAAACGAGATCCACATCGCCGACAGTGGAGGAAAAGAAGTCTCGAGTCTTTGCATAGGTCTGTTTCAGAAGACTGGCAGGTACCACACAACACGTAAGTTCCTGAACAAAAAAGTAAATAGAAGTAAGAATATGTTATGAATAATAAAAAATGTAATTAGGGAAGGTTTGATGACCGAATGCTATAATAAAACATATCTCCTCAAAACGAAAACGTGAAGCTGACTGTAACGAACGATATGAATCAGTTCACCGAAAGTAATAACTGGCTACTTTGTGAACATTTTCAAAACACCAATAAATATTCATATTGTTAAGTTGGTAACTTGCACTGTGACTGCGTTAATCAATAGCATGTTTAGGTTTATTTGTTTTACCTATCTCAAAATATACCAGCACTTATGTAGCTACTCAGATACACACACTTCTAGACTTCCTTCATCTTGCTCACGACCCAGAGAGAATGCAGGTTTAGCGTCCTGATAGTCTAGAAGGTGCAGAGCACACGCCAGACGTACGGATATTGGTTACCAACTAATTGAGTGTGGATTGTATGACTTGAGTATCATCGCGGAGTAAGACAATATCATCCGCATGCTAAGGGTTGAAAAGTCTTTCTCCAGGTTACAGATCCAAACCACCGTTACCTACGTGTATCAGAGCTGTCTCTAAAACGTTATCGATGGCTAAGTTGGAGAGGAATGTTTTGACTGGGCAACCCTGCCCAACCTCACTGCTTGGATGGAACAATTGATAGAGGTGGTGGTATGTCCTCACTCTACCTGATGTGTTTGTGTATGGGGCCTTCAAGATGTTAATAAACTTGCCAGGGAGATTCTCCTTTAACAGACAATTCCAGAAACGTGTCCTGTCTAACTGACCGACGGTGGGCCTGATGTCACGACGCGTTGCGCTGCAATAGGCATGACGGCGTCCTAAAGTTTGGCGGAAGGTGGAAATATATATGATCAATACATCCTCAACCGAAATGAAAACCAACTCGCCCCTAGCGAATCAGTCTTCCCGTGTTTTGAACAATCTGCGAAGTATGAAGTGAGCCAATAATTTGGAAGCAATCGGAAGTAGACTTATCCCTCGATAGTTGTTGCATAGGTGACGTGAACTCCTTTTGAAGATAGGGATAACAATCGACTCGTTTCACTATGTTGAAACACTTTAATTCCCGGACACAGATGGTTTCATTTACACCAGACTTCTTATTGCCAGTGACTCGGATGAGCTGGAAGAGCTTCCGGCGTTTACCAGAAGATGCTTATGTTCCCATCTCAGCTCACTCCGACTACCAGGTTTCTGCATAATTGCGCAGACTTTGCACAATTTTATTATGTAACAATCCTCATTTATCGTCGAACTCGCGGTTGGTCGGAGTAGATCGACGTGCTTCAACGAGTTGTAAGGAGTCTGTAGAAACCCAACACTTATGAGCGGGACGTTTTGCGAAGCCGCACTTTCCATACACGATTGTGTTGGTGCGCGCTGACTGGCTATTCCTTATCTAATCAGCACCAGCCGATACTTGGAGAAGACTCTAGAATATTGTCATGTAAAAACCATAAATATACAAACGTATCTCTTATTGTGCTTCTTACTTCCATCTGCCATCGTTACTTAGAGTATAATTTCGTTCCTGTTCAACTGTGTGCTGATTTGGAGACTTATCGAGTGGATTAGCGTCCAAGAATACTAAGCAATAGTAATAGCTGGGTCGTAATAAGAGAAATTATAACAGTAGATTAATAGCTAGCCTTGAAACAGGTTGTAGTCTGCACCAAGTTGCAGTAGACGGTCACCGTTACCTGGCCTGCGACTAACAGGTCTTCATCGGCCACCCAAACGAATTTTCTGTGTACCTAGACCCTCGACCTGTGTATTCAAATATACGGCTAGTACTACAATACTTATCGAACGCACGTTTTGTAAAAGAACTATTAACTGGTGGTCAAACTCATTCTTGATCGCATCCGGGATGCAGCTTGTCGATGCGTAGGCGATGAAGAAAAGACATCGTTTCTTACACCGAATACTCATTTTGATGGAGCTTTCTAATCTAACAGCATATGACTGACTGTTGATGCAAATCCGATCGATCAGTGCTGTCTCAGCTCTGGCGTTTGGTGAGACAAGAACTAGAAGATGCCACAAGAAATATGATGCGTAACTTTGCATATGGACCGATATTTGGGGAATGGTGCCTAACATAACTTAGTGTATTGAGAGGTTATCAGGAACGTAAAACGAATAAGACTTTCTTGTTGTTATATAAACAATGATAAGAATGGTTTGAATTGTGTTTACGTAGTCATTTTTCGTTTATGTCCTTTACTACTGCCTGTAGCATTACTCCACTTTACGTAGTTTATACATCAAGAATTTCTTTGTTTTAGGTTTTTATATCGATTTCAGTAGAAAACGATGAGAACAACCTAACCTTCTGACTTCTAATCCCACAAAAAATGTTTAAATAATATACAGATGTAAAATATTCTGAACTAAGAGGGATGGCTTCTCAGTCTGATTCAACACCAGGATCAAGGTGAAAAACGAAACCAACATTTTGTACACTATCCTGTCGCTGCTAGCGTTCAATTCTCGAACAAAAAATCCATCGTTTTAGAATTTTCAGATGTTTATGACAATAACCAGTTTATCTCTTGATATAATTAAAGTATCAAGAACAGTAAAATCAAATTACCAGGATATTACGTAAATCAACGATTTGTATAACTTAACGATGCAGAACCTGGGATAATCTAAAAATAATGGACAACATATTAACAGAACATAGGAATGGATTTAGTTAACTGCTTAATAATGAGGAACCGAAGATTATAGAAATTATTTTAGACAAGCTCGCACACATTTCAGTTATATACAGTCAAAGATTTACAAAAATCATAGGACCGAGGTTCTATAACTAACACGTACTTCTGTTATTATCAATAAAAATAATGACATCAACTTTAAAAATTAGAGATCATGACACTTACTACAGTAGTTTCTCAGCACAGGTTCCATATGTTTACTTGTATAACGTCCACGAATAAGTAAAGCACCGTTAGCATCCACTGAACCCTGAGTACCCAATTCAGTTAGTATGTATGTTGTGAGATGAGACTGATCTCTCATTAAAGAACGACAAATAGTTGAAAAATTTACAAAAAGAGTCTTTTTGGTCCCAACGCGAGCCATTTGAGGAGGAACCATTACGAGCTTTCTTTTCTGATCTGATACAAGTTCAGGATTCAAATCACCAAGCTGAGCGAAAACTCGTGTTAACAGCTATTAGAATTTTTAAAAGAGCAGCAAAACATGCACCGATGAAATAATGATAGTTCATCTGCAAAAAGTCACAAAAGATTATTTTTAAACATGAGCGAAGATTATTTCATATTATTATAGCACTCGTCAATGTTCATAACGTACATGACCGGGTATGGTTATATTTTAACGTAATATGTATATGAAAACCAGTCTGGAACGGTTAACAACATTCGTACACAGAATCTGTATATGTGTAACTATTCATTTAAACAAGATCCGAACACAAAAGCTCTTTCCATTTCTGGACACTTACATCACAACTTATAATAACTCTAAGGAAAATGCCCCAACTAGGAAGTTCTGGTGCAGCAAAAGGTGTCAGGTCATATATGCAGTAATCTTCCACTTTATAGAGATGCATTAAACTGACTGCCTCCATTTCCGTCCATTAATCCCGGCATCAGCAAACAGTACGTAGTGTGAGTCACTGGAATGACATCCGCACACCATACATCCCGATAGTTATCCCATACCTGTACATATGTACATCGGTTCGAGTTGCCATACCTGACTAGCATAGAGACGTCAGGCTGAAACCCGGAATAATATAGGAAGTAGTAATAGGAAAGATTAGGCATCGAGGATAGAACTATAGAAAATATAAATTAGCGAAATACAAAAAAGATGTTATGAGGGATTCAAAATCTCAGGATTTGGGGAAAGATAAGGAGCGGATGCGCCTGAGCCATTTCAGACGATTTTGAGCCATGTCATTCCAAGTCTCTAACCAATGGTTACGATAATCACACGGACCTCACCCAGGTAGTCTATACCAATTGTCTACTTTTACCTATCGCTACTGCCTTTCCCACTTCTTCCGCTGTCGCTACCCACAACTGCTCACAATCATTACGTAGGCTTTTTATCAGCCTACGTTTTAGCTGCCTCCACTTCTCATTGTGTTCGAAGCTAGACGGGAAGAGTTTCCGAGCTTTTGTCAGTTCTGTAGAGCCCGCTGACTTTCGTAACGTTTTAAGTTACTAGTGAACATTACTTTTGTTTCCACAGCTTTTTGGACATCGTAACAAGCTACCTCGGGGTGGATAGCATTTTAACGGTTGACTAACTCCTTTCCTAGTTGTTCTTGAAATATATTCCTAACTTTTTCCTATCATTAAGTTGAATTCTAAGGGGTTTTCTTGCTGTGGTTTTTTTTACGTCCAGTAAGATGTACACAAATACGCGCTCGTACTGGATCATGATCTAAGTCTAGACATGTGCTCCATAATGAGCGATAGTCTTCGATACACCCCTCCAATGATGGCTAATGGTAATGTGATTTATTTGAGTCCATCGGTGAGTTGCTTGATGAAGTCGCCATGTCATACGATGTTTCTTCTACTGCTTAAAGATGGTGCTTGCTAGAAATAAACATTTAGTCGAGCATAGTTGCAACGCATGGTCGCCATTATTTGTTCGCTGAGCCTCAGCACAGAAAGACCTGCCTAAGTGCCTTTCGGTTTGGTTTCCTTTACATACATAAACATTAAAATCACCTGCCACTATTACTGTATAAGGGCGTTTAGCTATTTGAAGGAGGCTGAATAGTCTCCCATAAAATTCATCTTTAACTCCAACCGAGCTGCAATCAGTGGAAGTGTAGGTAGTGGCACTCCTAGCAATCTGGGAGCGTGACCACAGAGCCCAAGAAATAACTGATTGAAGTTGGTCGCCCACGGCCCTTTTTATAAAAAGCCTTTGAAGAGTTAGCTCTGCATTTTAAAAGGTCTTCCTATCGGAGACGGAAATCCGTGGAGTAAGGTGAGGTGTGACATTCTAAGGGTCAATCTTTTCTATCCCCTTAATTTTGTTGTGGGAAGGCAGCATTGCTGAAGACGCTAATTGTCTGAGGGGAACAACCTACTGATGTCACACCCTTTTACAGTACTTCGCCTTCGGACCTTAAGTTCCTGCTTTTAGTCTGACCGCTCTCCAACCAATCTGGCTGGGACGGTAGGACCTAAAGGAACGTGTTTCATCCAATATGGTTCGCGTGAGTTACCGATAGGCAGGTCCAACTACCACGTCAATGTAGCAGCTACGGTCCGGTCCAGACTCTAAGAAGACTATTTTTTAAATATGGATGACAGTTGCGTTATTCACTCAATTTTAAATAAATGGCTTGACGAATATAAACACTAACTTTAGAAATAAAACATAATATTCATTTAACCCATTAAATACAAAAATACTGGGTAGCAACATCAGTCAGCTACAACGGAGGACCGGGCACATATATGCATCGGTCCAAGTTGCCATACCTCATTAACACAACAAGATGGACACCGGATTCATAAAAGTAGTTCATTCAAAGGTGGTAATATATAAAGAAAGATTGCAATAAGGATATAGTACACGAAGAAAGAATTAGTTCGTAGAAAGAAAGATATGAAGTGATTTTAATCTCTTAGTTTAAGAGCAGACAGAGAGTGTATACACCGACGCCATTGTGATCGATTCTGAGCCATGTCACCAAGAGTCTCCAACCATTGGTTACGAAAGTCACGCGGACCCCAACCAAGTAGTCTGCATCTACCAACATGGCTCAGACTAGAAGTTAGTGACTTCAAGCACTGATGCCACGTTTTGGTTTGGCCGCCCCTAACTTTCTTCCAACCATCTCCAATACCGGATAGCATTGCACGTCGTGGTAATCGGTGTTCAGGCATACGTAACACGTGGCCCAACCATCTCAGTCGATGAAGATTCATAACCTCATCAACTGATTTACCATCATTCCCTAATACCCTGCGTCTAACCTCACTATTACTTACCCGGTGATCCCAGCAGACGCCAGCAATATTTCTAAGGCATCTGTGGTCAAATACTAGTAGCTTACGAGTGTCTTCTACTCTTAATGGCCATGTTTCGCTGCCGTAAATTAAAACAGAACGGACTGCCGCGCAGTATACTCGTCCTTTTATTGATAGACGGATATCTCGCCTTCGCCAAGGTGACGTAAGTTGGCAAAAGCCAAACGAGCTTTTCGAATCCGTGCTGAGATTTCGTCAGACACCAACCCATTAGGGCTGATCAGACTTCCAAGATAAGTGAAGTTGTCAACGCGTTCGACTACTTCACTCCCTATCCTTAGTTCAGGTGTTGACGCAGACCAGTCCTGAAGCAACAACTTGCATTTAGAGGGAGAGAAGCGCATTCCAAACATTCTGGCATTGTTGCTTAGTGCTACCAGAAGACTCTGCATTTTGTCAGCGTCTTCACCAAACAGGACTATGTCATCTGCGTATTCTAAGTCGATAAGTGGACCTCCTGGAAGGAGATCAATACCCGAGAATTCAGTCGACGAGAAAGTTATTTCCATCAATAGGTCTATGATGAAGTTAAACAAAAATGGGAAAGTGGACAGCCTTGACGGACACCACTTGAGGTTGCAAAGGTAGATGACAGTTCGCCATAAGCTCTGACTCGACTAGTAGTGTTCGAGTAAAGAGCCTTCACAAGGTTTATGTACTTCTGGGGTACGCCTTTCAATGACAGACACTGCCACAGAATCTCGCGGTCTACAGAGTCAAATGCTGCTTTTAAGTCAAGAAAGACCACCATTGTCGGACGCCGATAAGTATGCCTGTGTTCTAGAACCTGACGAATGGTGAATATGTGGTCGATGCAGCCACGACCAGGTCTAAAGCCAGCTTGGTTCTCTCGTGTTTGCAGTTCACGAGTCTTAGTTAGGCGTCTGATAATTATCGAGGCTAGTATTTTAGATATTATATTAGTTAAACTAATCCCTCTGTGGTTGTCACAGGATGATTTTGACCCTTTCTTATATATTGGGACGATAAGTGATTGTGACCAGTCAGATGGGATAACGTCTAACTCCCAGATCTTAGCTAAAATATTAGTCAACCTAATCGCTAAAATTGGACCACCATCCTTAAAGACTTCTGGAGCCAGTCCATCTGGACCAGCTGCCCTTCCTCGTTTCAGATTAACTATAGCCTTTTGAACTTCAGCAAGAGTTGGGGGACCTACTTCAATGTTCCATTCACTGTCTGGGAATGGAGGGTAGTTGTAGAGTAGCTGAAGGCCAGCTGAACTGTTCTCTGAAATGTTCCGCCCATCGTTCTAAACGTCTGGACTGGGAGCAGATGAGAGTATCGCTTTTTCCGAAATAATCTCACTTACACTTGACTTATTAATTCCAGTTTCTTTTATTAGTCTGTAAAGCTGTCTTGTGTTCCCTATAGTCGCCGCCTTTTCCATCTCTTTTGCTTTCGTTGCCCACCACTGCTCACGGTCGTTCCTTAGACTTTTTCTTAACCTAGATCTGATTTGTTGTCGCTCTTCATCATGTTCGGAACCTGATGGGACGAGTTTGCGAGAATCCATCAGTGTGATAGACTTGAAGAAATCCACTGGTTCTTTGTAACTCTGTGGTTTAAGTCGCTAATAGATGTCACTGCTGCTTGTATGTCTTTCCAAGCAACATCTGGGTCAGCCTCGTCTTCAGAACTACCTAAGTGTGACCTCAGTTGTTCCTGGAACCTACTTTTGGTTTTCTCGTTACTCAACTCAGTTCTAATGGGTCTTTTTAATGTGGCTTTTTTGCGTCCAGTGAGGCGCAAGCAGATGCGTGCCCGTATTAGGGCATGGTCGGAGTCCAAGCAGGTACTCCAGAATGAGCGACAATCTTCTACCGACCCTCTCCAACGATGACTGATGGCAATATGGTCTATTTGAGTCCATCGTTGGTTTGGTGTAGGGGGTCGCCATGTTAGACGATGTCTCTCCTTATGCTTAAAATTTGTGTTTGCTAAAAATAAACGATTGTCTGAGCATAGCTGCAGCAGACGATCACCATTATCTGTTCGCTGTGTCGGAATACTAAAATATCCACCTAAATGCCTTTCTGTTTGGTTTAAACTACCTATCTGAGCATTAAAGTCACCCTACGAGTACTATGTCTGAGCGTTTAGCTTTCTGAAGAAGTTCGGACA